GGGGGGGGGGGGGGGGGTCACCATGCTGGAGTGTTTGCAGACTCGCTCAAAGCTCCTCGCTCTCTAGCATGACCTCCGGAGGGGAGCTGGAGAACAGGATGGGGCTGGTGTCCGACGTGGGGAAAGCCGACTTGATGTCGAGCCCCTGGCCCGTCAGAGCTGCGTAGCGGCTGCCTGTGCGCTGAGCCTTCTTCATGGGTGCGGGGATGCTCTGATGCCACTGTGCTAAAGGTGCAGCAGATAGCTAGTATTACTACTTATAGAGACTAGAAATATGGCACATGTCTTAATAAAGCTGATAGAAACACAGCTATACAGAATATTAACCATAGATATCAAGCCTGCAGGTGCAGGATACAATTCCAGCTTCATTTTTTGCTGACACCGTGTACCAGCCAGCATCGTCCTTTCTTGTTGGCTGGATGAGGAGACACACGTATCCTGTCGCATCCTGGGTCATGCTGAAATAAACAGATAATGGAGAATTCATTCCAGTTCTCACAGAGATCTTTGAGACTGTTAGGTTACACTACTGATGCACAGGGAGGCTCAGAACTCCTACTAACCTGATTCTGTCCTTAGTTTTAGGAATAGTATCATTGTCTTTCTTCCAGAAGATAACCGGAGGAGGCATACCTACAACCCGACACTCCAGCCGGACTGGAGTTCCCTCAGGAATACCCATGTTCTGCAGCTTCTCCAAGAACTGGGGAGGGTGCTTCATCTCTTTCTCTAAAGTGGACGGGACTTAAATTACTGGAACTTCCAAACGAGGAATGAGACATCAACACCAAAGTATTCAAAATTATTTAGCATCGATTATATTCGGTCCTTACCCACAACTTTCAGTTCTAGATTAAAGGAACTCTGCCCGGCTTTGTTGCTTGCAATACACGTGTACGTGCCAGCGTCGTTCTGCGTCAGAGGGTCGATGACCAGAGAATGGATGCCATTCTCCCGCACCAACATCTTGTGGCAAAGGTCTGGGTAGATTGGCCTCCCGTTGACCAACCACATCAGCTCAGGGTTGGGGAGGCCACTCACCTGGAAGACAAAAAACGTGTTAAAACGAAGGTGAGGGGAAAAAATGTGAGACTGTATTTCACGCCCGGACCTGCTGCCTACCTTACAGTCCAGTCTACACAATCTTCCCTCA